TGTTAATCATTAAAGGCACTGGTCCTCCAAGACCTAGATGGCAAGAGGTTTTGTCAAAGCAAAGAACTGTTATGCCAAAAAATATATCACTTGCAAAATACCGCTAGGATGAAAACTCGCAAAGGGCATCTTAGGCAAAAAAAAAAAAATCAATCAAAATCAAAAGTTCCCGCTAAGACACGTCTTAGGCAAAAATTAGGGATCTAAAAAGAAAAATAGCAAGTGACAATTCCCATAGTTGAAAGCTAAAAGGCGACTTGAACACTTCTACAAGGGGCCAAATTCTGCGAAGACTCTGCCTGAGACTCAGATATGTAGTTCAAGATAATTAGGAGAATGATTATAATAATTATCCAAGGAAATGTTTGTTTAAAAAACATAAACACTCACCTACCTCCACTATCCATTCATTCTAAATCATCCTACCTCCATTAACCATCCATTCTAAATCATGATTTCTCATCCTTTCTGTCTTGTCTAATCACAATGACGTATATTGTTGATGATTGTCAAAATTGAACATGTAAAAAAAAAAATAAATAAATAAAAATGACCCGCTAGGATGAAAACCCGCAAAGGGCGTCCTAGGCAAAAATTAGGGCAAAAAAAAGAGAGAAAAGATATACGTCCAAGAATCCTTAGAGATCGAAATTTCTCTCTCTCTCCCCCTATTGTATTTCTTGAGATTTGTGAGGCATATTATAGTGTGAAAGGTTGCCATAAAGCACCTTCTTCATATTTGAAGATTCAATAGAGCTCGTTCAAGAGGAATTTCAATCAATCTTCTTCTATATCTTTTATTTCTCATCTTTATCTCTATCTTTTATTTATAACAAACGCAATCATGTAGATATTTTAGGGTTAGTCGTATAATTTAAATTTTTAATATGTAAATAAATATTAATAAAGGGGATTTACTCACTCAATTTACTTGAAATTTGAATTATTTTTCCAACACATATCATACATAACATTTAAATCATGACATATCATTTCAACATGGATAATCTTCCTTATTATTTATTACTTTATCTTTCCTTTTCTTTATCTTTTATGTCTTAATGGAAGATATGAGCTCATGATCCCAAGGAGCATTTCCCTTTATTTTGCCTTACATTCCTTGAGGATTAGAAGGGTTCACACCTTCCCTATCAAAGAAATGTTTGTTGAGCCAAAAATATTTATGAACATCTAATACTCCAAGTTTTAATGATAACTAAGAAATGTTTGGTGCATATAGGGATGGAAATGGGATCCCGTAGGGGCGGGTAGTAGGATACTCGTACCTGTCTCATCAAATAAAAAATTTGTCTCACATTTGCCTTATAGTCGCGTAGGTATCATTTAGTGGGTACCCAAGAATTTTATAAATACCCTCGAGTATCCATAGATATCCATGGATATTTATGAATTATTTTAAATTTTTTTAAAAAGTATTATAAATAACTTTAAACTTATATTTGATGTTAAGTATATTGAAATATTAAGGATAAATAATTGATATTAATTTTTAAACTTATAATTAACGATAATTTTTTGAAATATGAAAATAATATATAAAAAAATGTAAGATAAAAATATGAATATTTAAGTAATATTATTTAACGGGTACTGTAGTCACCCAATTTTGTCCGGGGGCAAACAAACAAATAAATAGACGTCTATTATCAAGGAAAGGAACTCCCAAAGCAGGAAAACAACAAGACAGGACATTAGAGGGCCGAAAGCCTAAAACAACTAGTTTTACTGGCCCGGAACGGGCCATTCCCAAATCTGGAACAGGTCGCTCCTAAATTAGAACGGGTTGTTTTGAGCCACCTAAAAGGCTTAAAGACTCTTGGTTGGAATGAGCCGTTCCAGACCAGAACGAACCGTTCCAAACCAATCAAAAGGCCTAAAAAAACTTGGCTAGAACGGGCCGTTCCAAACTGTTAAAAAGGCCTAAAAACCTAGTTTGGAACGGGCTGTTTTAAGCAAAGGAATATAGTGTTAATCTCAACTCCAGAACGGGCCGTTCTCAGTTCAAAACGGGTCGTTCCCAGGTGCGTGATTAACACACAATGTTCAGATCCAGATTGGAACGGGCCGTTCTTGCCACTTTCTGATGCCTATAAATAGACAGCTTGGGTACAGTTCTTAGGGTGACAAAAAAATTTCGTCCAAGAATCCTTAGAGATCGAAATTTCTCTCTCTCTCCCCCTATTGTATTTCTTGAGATTTGTGAGGCATATTATAGTGTGAAAGGTTGCCATAAAGCACCTTCTTCATATTTGAAGATTCAATAGAGCTCGTTCAAGAGGAATTTCAATCAATCTTCTTCTATATCTTTTATTTCTCATCTTTATCTCTATCTTTTATTTATAACAAACGCAATCATGTAGATATTTTAGGGTTAGTCGTATAATTTAAATTTTTAATATGTAAATAAATATTAATAAAGGGGATTTAATATTTAATTTATTAATTCTTATCATGTTATCTTCATCATAGGGTACCGATTGAGGGCGTTGTAGGGGTGCTTAATACCTTCCCTACACGTAACCGACCCCCGAACCCAATTCTGGTTATCAAGGCCATTATTGGATCTTTAAAAACCTTTTCTTTTTCCAATGTTTTGAGTAAAATATTGGTGGCAACTCCATGAACCTATTTTCAAAACCATTAATTAAGGATTAGTCTGGTGTCCGGGCATTCCTTAATTAATGACACTTTTAAAAGGATGTTTAAACCATAGGTCGTGAGATCGGAAATTTTTGGGTTGCGATCGGAAATATCCATACATGTTACTCGTAGGTATCCATTTAAGCTTTCCATTTATTTTCCATTAGATATGAGTATTTTTACCATCCCTAGATGCATAAAGGAATTTGTGTTTAATGTTTATGCTTAAGGAACTGCCTTTTATTGTTTCTACCTTATCCATATCCATATACATACACACACACAC